CAGCATCATCATCATCATCATCATCATCATCATCATCATCATCATCATCATCATCACACTCTCTCACGCACACACACTCATTATCATCATATGTGAGTTCATGAGCGTGTGAGTGAGTGAGTGCTGATGAGTCAGTGAGTGAGTGAGTGAGTGAGTGAGTGAGTGAGTGAGTGAGTGAGCTAGTGAGTGAGTGAGTGAGTGAGCGCACGAAGACAGAAGAGGGGAGGGGGTGAGGTGAGGAGGTTCCTGCGCGGGGTGTCCAGAGAAAACAAGAACCCCACTTTGGATGTGGGGAAATAGTCAAAACATACTCAAATAATCATTGAAAATACTAGAAAATCGTCCCCAGACTATGTATGTACTTTTTTTGGATTTTCCTCCTGTAGAGGGACATGCCCGACTTGAGGCTAAACGCAAAAGTGACCCTAGGCAGAAGTGACCTTTGGTGCGCAGCTTTCAAGGGGCCCGGTGGGGAGTCAGACCCAAGCGCGCAAGCCGCTGCTATCGGATCGCATTCAGCGGTCGGGGGGCCCCAGTGGGCCCGCACCGAGGGTCCCTCCAGCGGAAGGCCATTCTTCCATGTAGCCGATTTCGGCCTCTGGGGGGCCTCGCCAGGCCTCGGGAGCGTCAAAAAACGACTCGGGGCGAAAAACTGGCCCTGGGGAAATAGAGGAACAAACAACTGCATAAGCACAATCTTTCGGCACTCCGCGCGGATTTCTTGTATCTGCGTTGGGCCCCACTCCCTGCGCCAGGGGCGGCGCGGGAGGCGCCGCCGGGGGGAGGGCCCAGGCCCGATCCAAGACATCCGCGCTGAGCGCCAAAAGTTTATGTTTATAGCGTTTTTTCTTCGTCGGGGAAGTGGTCCAAACCTCTGGGGCCCACGCATCGAAAAACATGGAGCAGCTGGGTGTCTGGGGCGGTCCGGGTCCCTGGCGGGTGAAAAAGTTGCGGGCACGGCCCGCACTGTACACAGCGGTCTCGCAGCCGGCATCTGTCTGCCGGAGCTGGCGTTCAAACGGCCATCTGCTCTTGGCGGCGCGCATGTGGGGGTGGAACGAGGGGGCGAACTTCGCGTGAGGAAGCAGGCTTCTTCTAAGGGTCCTCAGAAGCGTGCAGAGGGCTCCTTAGAAGGCAGAAGGTCGTCTGAGAGGCGGGGTGACATGCTTCGAAGGCCTCCCCCCTCGCCAGGACCCCCCTCGAAACCGACCTCCACAATGCCTCTGTACAATCTTGGGTCGAGCTCTGGTCAAGATGTCGGGGCGCATCCAGCCGTGTCGACGACGCCCCCGCCCCACGCGCAGGACCAACCAAGCTGCGAAAAGCAAAAAGCCACAGCTCCGAGGGCGAGCCTGCCTCGCCGCTGCCCCCCTCTGCGCGCCGCCGACACTGCAAGCGGCTGCGGAGACGCCGCTTCGGGCGCACCTGCGGCGTGAAACAACCGGGTCGGACGGAAGTGGGATGAGGTCGGGCATACGTTGGAAGAACAACAAAACATAGTCAACACATAATCGATAATAGCCAAACAAAGACCACTAAACATCCTCCCCTGACAATTGTTTACGATGCTTAATTGCAGTAGGAGCTCGACCGCAAGAAAACTTTCACAAGAAAACCAACCCTGAGACCCCAGGGCGTCCATCGATCTCTGGTGGGGGGACGTCACGCGTTCCAAGGCAAAACCCTCGAAACCCAAGAAGCCCAGGGCTCCCTGGAGGAAAGCAGGGTGTTTCTTGGCATGGGTTTCAACTGTATTTTGACGGCGCGCACAAGGGGTTAGGGGGGAGGGACAGGGCTTTTCTAGAAGGAGCCTGCTTCTTGGAAGGCGCCAGCCGTACATCGTCAGACAAGGCCCGCACCTTTCAAGAAGCAGGGGTGTTTCTAAGAAGGCTTCCCCCCTCCCCCTAAACCCCCTCTGCGCATGGCCGAGTAATCCTCCTGTGGAGGCTCGCGCCCCACTTCAAATCGGGGCTTGGACAACGGGCTGGGTTGGCGTATCGGCCCACGGTTTCCTCCACGCCTCCCGCTGCTCTGGAGGCGGCCGCGCGTGCTCGGGGACCCGGGGGACTCGCGCCGCCGAGGCCAGCGGCACGGCGCGGACTTCGGAGCCGACCGTCCATTGCCCAGACCCAGCCCCCCCGCCTGCGTGCGACCCGGCACAGGCGCCGAGGGGGGGGGGGGCACGGGGCCCCGCAGAAAAAGGCGAGGGCGCGGACGCATCAGGCGGCGCGCCCGGCGCGCCCCGCAGCAAGACGCAGCAACACGGCAGCAGGGGGGGAGGAGAGAGGAGGAGGAGGAGGAGGAGGAGGAGGAGGAGGAGGAGGAGGCGGTGGAGGAGGAGGGAGGAGGAGGAGGAGGAGGAGGAGGAGAGGGCGGAGGAGGAGGAGGAGGAGGTGGAGGAGGAGGACGGAGGAGGAGGAGGAGCGAGAGGAGAAGGAGGAGAGGGAGAGAGGAGGAGAGAGGAGGAGGATAGAGGCGGAGGAAAGAGGAGGAGGAGGCGGAGGTGGCGGAGGAGGAGGAGGAGGAGGAGGAGGAGGGGTGATGAGGAGGAGGAGGAGGAGTAGGAGGAGGAGGAGGAGCGAGGAGGAGGGGGAGGAGGAGGAGGCGGAGGAGTGAGGAGGAGAGGAGGAGGAGGAGGAGGAGGAGGAGGAGGGAGGAGGAGGAGGTGGAGGAGGATGAGAGGAGGGAGGAGGAGGGGAGGCGGAGGAGGGGGAAACGAAAGGCGAGGAAGAGGAAGGGGAGTGGAACGCAGAGATGACCAGCAGTAGGGGGGGGCAACCGAACTGGCAGGATCAAGGGGCAGTTGGCGGATAGGAGTGCTACATCTGGGAGCTGGAGGGGCGATACGACACCGTGCAGCGGCCGCGCGGGTGACCTGCGCCTGGCCGACACACGTGGAGGGATGTGCGAGCAAGAGGGAGCAAGAGGAGGAGGAGGAGGAGGAGGAGGAGGAGGAGGAGGTAGGAGGAGGAGGAGGAGGAGGTTGGAGAGGAGGTTAGGAGAGGAGGAGGAGGAGGAGGGAGGAGGGGGAGGAGGAGGAGGAGGTGGAGGAGGAGGAGGAAGAGAGGAGGGGAGGAGAGAGGAGGAGAAGGAGGTGGAGGAGGAGGTGGAGGAGAGGAGGAGGAGGAGGAGGAGGAGGAGGAGGAGCAGGGAAACGAAAGACGAGGAAGAGGAAGGGGAGTGGAACGTAGAGATGACCAGCAGTAGGGGGGGGGCAACCGAACTGGCAGGATCAAGGGTCAGTTGGCGGATAGGAGTGCTACATCTGGGAGCTGGAGGGGCGATACGACACCGTGCAGCGGCAGCGCGGGTGACCTGCGCCTCGCCGACACACGTGGAGGGATGTGCGAGTAAGAGGGAGCAAGAGGAGGAGGAGGAGGAGGAGGAGGAGGAGGAGGAGGAGGAGGAGGAGGAGGTTAGGAGGAAACTTCTGGGAGGTCGTCGTAAGAACGATGAAGGTCGGAGGAAGGGAAGGGGACGGAGACGGAGGAGGAGCATCATTCAGCTCTGGCCCGCTGGCAGCTGAACGTTGAACGTCTGGCCGGGAGCCAGGCCCTCTGGCACCTTCACCTCGTAAGTTGGGCCGGTGGGGGCCTGACGGAGGCAGAGGGTCGCAGGACGCGGGAGGGGAGCAACAGAAATCCTTGACCTCATCGCCCTGCTCCGTCCCGCTTTTCCGTCCTTCCTCCACTCCCGAATGAACATCCTCCTTCTCCGCCCCCTCACCCCTCCTCGTCCCTCCCCCTCCAGCTCCCTCCTCCTGGACAGGGACTGCCGCGGGGCCTACATATGGGCGGTGCAAAAACAACGGGGTCGTCGTCGCCGACGTTCGCGCGTAAGCTGCCCGCGTAAGGTCGCGCGTGAGCGCCCCCGTCTTCAATGTGGCGTGCCGCGCTGGTGGCCCGCGTAACCTGCGGCGCAGGGTCGCTGTGCCCTCTCGCGTAAGACTCGTTGTTTTGATCGTCGCTTCTAGTAAAGCTCTCGAGAGCTCGCCGGAACCGCCTGGAACCTCCCGCCCTCGTCGTCCCCCCCACTGCGAGCCCCACCTCTCCTTCGCGCCCCCCTCCCCGGACGCCTGGAGCGCCCGGCGACCAGGGCTCTGAGGCGAGCCTGCCTGGCCGTCATGGCGGCACGCCTCCGACGAGGGGCCTCGAGATCTCTCCGCCGTCCGCGCTGGACCCTCCTCCCCGCCACACCGTGGCTGTCCTCGTCGGCCGAGGTACTCGCCACCCTCGCCACCGCCGTCCCTCCCTGCCGCCCTCGCCACCGAAAGCCCCCGCTCGCCCACCCACCACCGGCGGGGAGAGGGGGCCAGGAGCGGTCAGCATCGCATCGGCTCGTGCCGCATCGGAATCGGCGCGGAGTCGGAATCCAATCGCGTCGGCCGCGCCAGGATGCACAGCGGCGCCAAGCGAACATCGGACACAATCGGACCAGGACCATCGAACATCGGACAATCGAATCGGATCGGGGCGGCCGAGATCGGCATCGAATCGAACCGATCGGGGCGAAATGGGCCCCCGGGGGGGAAGGGAGGAGGGGGGCATACCCTGCTGTTGAGATGGCGGCGCATCGGTGCCAGAAGGCCTCGGGGACGATCGCGTCCAAGTCTCGGATCGGATCGGAGCGCTCATCGGACCGGGCCGCCTCGGCCTGGAGCCAGGGTCGAATCGGATCCGCCGCGCCGGGATGCACAACGACGCCATGCGAGCACCGAGCCGCATTTAGAAGAAGAGGAAACACCATAAACGTAACTTTTAGCGCTGCGCGCGGATTTCTTGGATCTGCGCTGGACCCCCCGCACTGGCGCGCGGAGCGCGCCAAGGGCGGCGCCAAAGGCGCCGCCAGGGGGGCCCAGCGCGGATCCAAGAACTCCGCGAGCAGCGCCAAAAGTTTATGTTTATGGCGGTTTTTGTTCTTCGACCGAAAGATCTGACAACCGAATCGGGTGGTGCTGGCCGAAATCGACGCCGAACCGGAGCGATCGGTCGAGATCGGGTCGATCGGGGCGGTGCAGGTCGGGCAGGGGGCGCCGGGCGGCGCGTGCGCGGCCTCGCACGAGCGAGCACAGCTGGCCCCCAAGAGGAGCACAACGAGGCTAAATTAAGCCCGTGCCAGAAGAGCCAGAGCCTGTTTTTCTTGGAGCCCGGCAAGTTTGCTTGCATGGACTGGGGGGGGCCTGAACCTAGAGCAAGCCGCGAACGACTGGCACGTGCAGAGATCACGCAAGTCGAAAGGCACTTGCACGCTGGTATTCGTCCGAAGAGGCGCGAGGGGGGGGGGGGAGCGAACGCCATGCAGGTAAACTTGCCTGAACTACTTTTAAAAAGAGGCAGGCGGCTCCCAGCCTCAGGATAGAAATGCCCGGCCCTGAGATTCGACTAGCCCTCGGCCCCGGACCGATCCGCGAGGGCCCCGGGACCCGAAATTGTGCGACAACGCTCCCCCGCCATCTGACACCAAGGCTGGACCTAAAGTTTGTTTTTCGTTTTGTTTTCGTTTTGCTCGACCTGTGTTCCTGCACCACCCTGCCAAAACCAAAAACAAAACACAGCCAGAGTCCAGCAAAACTGCGTTTAGGTCCAGCCCTGCCTGACACATCCCCCACCTGACGTGCCCTCGAATGCCTGCCGGCGCGGCGCCAAAGCTGCCCTGACCCACTCGCACCAAACCTGCCCCAGCGGCTCGCCGATCTGCGCGCGTCCCGCGCGCGGTGTGTTGCAGCGAACACTCGCATTTTTTTCGCTGGCGGCGAGGCAGAGGCAGTCCGCTCCGGCGTGTGGCTCTTCGGGGCAACCGAAAGGCTAATTGTCCGGCGCGCAAGGGGGAAGAACGAACACGAGGGCGGCCGCGCGAGGGGAGGAGGGGGGAAGCGCTCGGCACACACAGGGATGCATGCGACACGGCAAGGTGCAACAAGCGAAGCCCCCTTCAGGAAGCGCGCCCGCACGTGCAGGACTGCTCCGCGAGCACCACTTATGGGGTTCGGGACGGTGCTTCCACCCTTGATGCTATCGCGTGGTGTCGGGTGCGCCGAAGAGGGGGGGGAAGCCAGGAACATGGCGCCACGTGGCCCGACCCACGAGCGCGGACACATGGGGGCAAGGGGGTGTAATCTATCGAAGAAAAAGGGGGGCCACGAAATCTGATAGATTTCATGACCCCGGCCATCGCGTCCATACACGCACACGCGCCACCCCCTCCTCGACGCCTGGTGATTTTCGAGTCATCGCTGGCGGCCGTTCGGAACGACTCGGGCACACCTGAGGAGCTCTCGACGAGTCGCTGCTGGAGAGCATCCTGGGGCAAGAAAACCTACAATAGCCAACAGACGATCCTTCCAATACTCGACGAAAGCGCCCTCGGCATCCCTACTCTGAATCCCTTAAATGATTTGGTGGTACCTGTAGTCCGAGCTGGTACCTGTAGTCCGGGGGTGGGTGCACCTGTGGTCTGGAGGGGTACCTGTCGTCGGGGGGAGTCCCAGGGGGGGGGGGGTACCTGTAGTCTGGGGGGGAGGGTCCAAGAGTCTGAGGGGGGAGGAGGGGTCACCTGTAGTCTGGGGGTGGGCTACCTGTAGTCTGGGGGGTGCCTGCAGTCTGTGGCCACAACACTTGAGGGAGTCGTAGTCCTCAGACCTGGCCTGCACCCCTCCTCTGCTGGACGCCCCTGAGAAGAATGCTGCGCTGCATGGGGCCGACGCGGAGTAGACCCCAAGCCCGGGCTGGCGCCTCGTCCGATCGAGTTTCAGTCCTCGCCGCCAGGAGCCCAACACCATTCTACAGATCAACAGGCCTCCTACATGGGGCCAGAGTAGATGGGGTCGGAGGATCGCGCTGCATCGCCGATACATCGACGATGCATCGTGGACGTCGGCGATGCATCGGCGACGTCGACGTGAAGCAAACCGGGCTGCACATAGAGCCGCATCGGGGAAGCATCAGCGATGCGTCGCGCTCCTCCGACCCCATCTACTGCGACCTCATCCAGGAGGCATACCCTTTCCCTCCTCCCTCCCCCCCTGTTAGACGAAACCGGGACGAGGATGACATAGGGTGAATATAAATCGAGAATCTCTGAGATCCGGCGACTCTGGAGGATTTCTCGGGCGCCGCGGCCCTGCCAGAGCGTTTCGGAACGCTCTGAGAGCGTTCCAGAACGCTCGCGAACGGATGGATTCTCGTCCTAGCACTGTCCGACTATGAGATCCTCGCGCAGTGCGAGAATCACGACGGAAGGTCTGTGGCAGTTGTTTCTGCCGCCCTGCGACCATCAAACAGCTGCCCAGGAAGGAAACGCGGTCCCCAGGGAGGAGGCCCAGACCATTGGAAACCACGCTGCGACACGATCACGACGTCGGATGGCAAGGCCTCTCCGCCCCTGACTGTCTTCCTCCTCTCTGTGAGGAGTTGCTTGCTATCTCTTTCCTCTCCCGCTCTTTCAACATGCAAGTGCGTCACCTGGTGGTGCCTGGCCTGTGCGCCGATGCATGATTGTTCATGTCTGGCCTTCTCTTACTATAGATGAGCAGGGTGGGTCTGCATACGGCCACCCTGCCGCCGCAGGGAGCACTGGAGGAAGGAAGGAATAAAGCTCCTCTGACCACGGCGAGCCTCGGCCACGAGTCGGCTCTCCGGCACAGGTCTGCGCAACGGCCCAAAAGCCAGAGCCCCTCCGGAGGCCGAAGTGGCCCATAGTTCAGCGTTTAGACTGCGAGTCGTGAGGGACGTGAAGGGGGAGCCGAGGCAAGAAGTGAGGCTAAGTAAGGAAAATCAGATCACTCTGGGCGGCCCCTGGAGGACAGAAATAGCAGCCTCAAGCTGCGTGCCCTCTCTGACCCCACTTCCGGTTAATCCCCCCTTCCCTCTGCGCACCCTCGAGGAAGGCGTTCTGCGGGCCCCCTTCGCGCGAGGGGGGCCTGCGATGGTGCGCGTGGGGCGTGCACTGCACTGCTAGACAACATAGGTTGTGGGGAAACCAGAAGGTGCCGATACCCCTACTCCCTAGACCTCTCCTGGGGTGTGTTCTGACCAAAATCTCAAGGCGCATCCAGCGGTGGCGACGAGGGCCTCCCAGGAGTAGACGGGCATAGGGTAGCGTTAGGTCGGGCATGTCCCCCTACTGGCGGATTTTGGGTGAGAAATTTGAGATAATCAAAAAATACAACAACAAAAAATCGAAGATCGTCCCCAGACTATTTTGTTGACTATTGTGGGATATTCCTCCTGTAGAGGGACACGCCCGACTTAGGGTAGCGGCATGGGCACCTCCTCCTCCTCCTCCTCCTCCTCCTCCTCCTCCTCCTCCTCCTCCTCCTCCTCTTAGGTCTGTCCTCCTCCGAGCCATCCCCTCGTCACTGAGCCAGCTCAAGCGACGGGTAGAGGCCTCCCAGATAGGGTCTGGGTAGATGGGGTCGGAGGATCTCGCCGCATCGACGATGCATCGGCGATGCATCGCCGATGCATCGGCGATGCACCGGCGATGCACTGGCGACGTCGGCGATGCATCGGCGACGTCGACGTGGAGAAAAGTGGGCCCCACATCGAGCCCTATCGCCGACGCATCGCCGATGCACTGGGGGGAAATGAGAAGGGACGGGCCTTCTCAGAAGGCTCGGACGTCCCCCGGCCTTCTGAGGAGTTTTCCAAGCCTTCCCCGAAGACCCAGAAAACCTCCGAGGAGGGGCGAGGGCTTCCGAGAAGCCCCGCTGCCTTCTGAGAAGGCCTCCTCCTTCTCACTCCCCCCCCCCGCTCGCCGCCGAATCTCAGGAGCCCCAGAACGGGGGAGGAGGCCTTCACCGCCAGGGGCTGCCCGGGGCTCTTGCCCTCCGGGACCGTGACCTGCAGCACCGTCGCCGCGCCTGTGGAGCCCGGGGGCGCGGCGCCGATCAAGGAGTGGAAGGAGGAGGAGGAGGAGGAGGAGGAGGAGGAGGAGGAGGAGGAGGAGGGGAGGAGGAGGATGAGGGGGAGGAGGGGGAGAAGGAGGAGGAGGAGGAGGAGGAGGAGGAGGAAACTCGGGTCGTTTGGGAAAGCGCATCGGAGGGGGCCGCATCGGACACGGAATTTTGGGGAGCAAGAATGCGCCGACCCTGTCGGCGTGCGTGAGGGGCGCAAGAGGCTCCCAAGAGGCCCCTCAACTGTCCCCCAGAGGCCCCAGAGAGCGCTTCGGAGAGACTCCAAGAAGCATCCATGAGGACTCTGACCCACGTCAGCGTCGTCATCGTCGTCGCCGCCGCCACAACTGTCGTCGTTCCCCTTCGGGTTCGGCGGCACCGGCCGTCAGGCCTTCGCAATGCGCGCCGTGCAGATTATCAGGATGAGGTCGATGATGATGACGACGAGTGGGTGAGAATGAGAAAGGGTGGTGGTGGTGATGAGGATGACGAGGGTGAGAACGATAGGGAATAGACAGGCGCGGGGATGACGAGGGCAGATGCCGAGGATCATGAAGATAGCGAGAAAGATTCGGGTCTCCCGTGGCCCGTGGAGATCCTGCGTGTGTGGTTTCTTTTCGTGCTGCATTTGCCGGGCGTGGGACTTATCACAGCACCTTTGCACACAAACTTCGTATGGACCGAGATACAATTGATAACATCATCAACTCAACATCCTATACTTTGTTCCATGCGGGGTTCCAGAATTCCCGGCCCGTTCCCCAGGGCCGATCTTTCATTCCGTGCCATTTTTGCTGACCGCTCCTGGGCCCAGCGCAAGACCCCCGTGGCAGAAAACTGCGCACAACAGCCGCCTGGACTTGATGTCCGCGCGTTGGAGGTCGGGGGAGCCTGTGTTGTACCGTCGGCGGACCTTGCCTGTCCCGTCGCGCCACGATCCGCGTCGAATCTGTGTCGAACGCGTCAAGTCCGTGTCGAATCTGTGTCGTAGCCACATCGAAGACACCTCGAATACAAGAAAAGACTGTTCGGTGGCAACTCACTGGGGCCTCCCATACCATCTTGTCGGCTCTTGCGAACCGACGCTAATCAACGCCAGCCGACGCTAATCTACGCTAAATCGACGCTAGCCGACGCTAAATTTGGCCTATCTCATCGACTCCCAGACGCTAGTCGACGCTAACCGACGCTGAAAACGGAATTCAGAGGGTATACCAGGCTCCCATAATTTGGCACCGAAGGACTATACTTGACAGGACAAGAGTTGCCCCCCGGAGATGCTACGTTTAGGTCGGGCGTGCCCCTCCTACAAGCAGTTTTTGACGAACAACTACACAAGTCAAACCATAATCAATAATAGTCAAACAAAATCAAACAATCGTCCCCAAACAATTATTTGTTTTATGCATGTTTTTGAATGCTCCTCCTGTAAAAGGCCCGGCCCGACTCAATGCTACGTGCAGGGAGCCCCTTCCCCGGGCATGAGCGGCGGCGGCCACGGCATGCCCGCGGCCGCGGCGGCGGCGGGCGGGCGGTGCGATGTCCGCCGCCTGGCGCGCGCGGCCCCGCGGACTGCAGCTCGCGCAGCTCCCGCCGCAGCGACTCGATCTCGGCGGCCTCTCCAAGAGGCCATTGGGAAGCCCCCAGGAGGTCTCAAGAGTGGCCCAAAAGGCTTCTCCTCCTCCTCCTCCTCCTCCTCCTCCTCCTCCTCCTCCTCCTCCTACTCCTACTCTTACTCTTACTCTTACTCCTCCTCCCCCATGGCCGAACTTGGACCCAACGCTGAGCTCAGACCCGGCTGAACTCGGACACGGGATGAACTCGGACACGGGCTGAACTCGGACGCAGGGCGAACTGGACCCAGCTGGACTCGGACCCAGGCTGAACTCGGACCCGACTGAACTCGGACTGGGGCTGAACTCGGACCCGGCTGAATTCGGACCCGAAGCCTGCGCCGCAGCGAGAACGCCTGGGTCCGAATTCAGCCAGTGTCCGAATTCAGCCGGGCCCGAGTTCCGAGTTCAGCCCAGGTCCGCGTTCAGCACGGGTCCGAATTCAGCACGGGTCCGAATTCAGCCCGTGTCCGAATGCAGCCCAAGTCCGGGTCAAGATGGGACCGAGATCGGTCCGAGTTCCGCCCCCTTCACGACCGGCGGCGGCATTGTTGGGGGGGGGGGGGGCGGCACATGGGGGGGGGAAGAGGGGGTGGACGAGTGGGGGGGGGGGCGGGCAGGGGCCCGCGCTCGGCTCCTCCTCCTCCTCCTCCTCCTCCTCCTCCTCCTCCTCCTCCTCCTCTTCCCCAGATATGCTCGCGTCGTGGAACAGAAATCACGACGGGATGGCTTTCGGTCGTGTTCGACCTCTGGGAGCCCTCGCAGGGCCTCGGGGCCATCCAGTAATTATCCTGGTTAGTGGCCCAATCATGTGTAATTGTGAGCCCCGTGTTGTGGCACCGCTGTCAGGGGGGGGCCCCATGGGGCCACGAACCGTGTGGGGGATGCGCCAAAGGCGAAGGCGCCGTGTGGACCCTACCACTGGGGCCACGAGCCATGTGAAGGTGCGCCGAAAAACTGGCGGCTCCGCCATGTGGACCCTGCAGCCAGGATCTTCACTAGAGCTCTCTACGGAGCCACGAACCGTGCGAAAGATGCGCCAAAAAGGGGCGGCGCCGCCATGCGGACCCCGCCAACGAGGCCCTCGGCTGAGCTCCCTACGTGTCCACGAGCCGTGTGAAAAGTGCGCTAACTATGGGGGGCGCTGCCATGACGACCCTGCAGTTGGCTTTCGGCTGAGCTCCCTGTGGAACCACGAACCATGTGAGGAGTGCGCCACAACGGGGCGGCGCAGCCATGTGGACCCGGGAACCGAGGCGGGACCAGGCCAGGGTCAGCATCGACGAGCTCCACGTCCACGTCACTGTCGCCCGCGGGCTCGTCCCAGCTCGCGCCTGCAGGATGTCCGCGAAGCACCAGAGGTCTGGCGGCGGCGGCAGGCTGATGAGGCGGCGCCTCCACACGCGCCTGCTGTCCCCCCGCCGCAGGGGCCAAGGCACCAACCTGCGGCGGGGGCGCGGCCACGGGGGGGGACCGCTCCCGCCGCCAGTCCGCCTGCAGGCGCCAAAGTGGACAGCATCTGCTAGACGGCACCCAGCGCCTGGCTGGGCGAGCTGAGCCGCCCGGCCCCCCTGAGCCGCCAGGGCGCCGACCACGCCGTCGAGGGCTTGGTGGGCCGCTTGCAGCTGGGCGGGGGGGCATGCCGGCTGCGGACCTGCCAGGGCGCCGACCAGAGCCCGCACCTCGGCGTACTTGTCCTGGAGCTCCTGCATCTCGTCCTCGACCTCGACGACGTAGGCAATGGCGTCCTGCGCCGCAGCCTGAGCCTTGTCGAGTCTGACTCGCGCCGCCAGCAGCTGCGCGGACATGAAGCCCACATCCTGCGAGGCCTGCACCGCGACCATGACGGGCTCAGCCAGGCCCGCGGCCGCCATTGCACGACGATGAAAAAGCTTGTCCCGCTGAGACTGGGACAACGAGGGCATGAGCGAGCGTAACGTGTCATCGTCAAGCTGGAGCCAGGAAGCGAACTCTTCCTCGGACAGCACACGCTTACTCCAAGCACCCACAGAAAGACGAAGATCCACCACATCAGGCGCCTTGGGCTTGGCCGTACCACACAGGTAGCACGCGCGCCTCCACTCATAGTTGCCATTGGCCTGGCAGCGCTTGTTGGCACAAGCCCAACAGTCCCTCCGCCAGCCTCCGCCATCTCCTTTGCTGCTGCCATTCTTCGGCTTAACCATGAATCAGCGGTGGACCGCTGCACTCGGCGATGACTCTGGGCCCCAGCAGCGCGGAACTCGACTGGGGTTGCAAGAAATCGGATGCTAGCCTGGGACCAGAGATATCCACTCTGTGTCCGAGGGCCAGAACCATCTTGAACCAAAATGGCTAAGGAATCCTCCTCCTCCTCCTCCTCCGCCTCCTCCTCCTCCTCCTCCTCCGCTCCGCAGCCGCCTCCTGCTCCGCTCCCCTCCCTCCTGCCGCCTCCCTCCTCCCTCCCTCCTCGCCCCCTCCCCCTCCCTCCTCCTCCTCCTCCTCCTCCTCCCTCCCCCCTCCTCCCTCCTCCTCCTCCACGCCTCCTCCCCTCCTCCTACCCCCTCCTCCCCTCCCCTCCTCCATCCCCTCTCTTTTCCTTCCTCCTCCTCCCTCCTCCCCCTCCTCCTCTCCTCCCCTCCTCCTCCTCCTCCTCCTCATCATCATCCTCCTCCTATCTCCTCCCATCCTCCTCCTCCTCCTCCTCCTCCTCCTCCTCTCTATCCTCCTCTTCTATCCTCCTCTTCTATCCTCCTACTCCAGCCTCCTCTCCCCTTCGCCCACCTCGCTCCCCCTTTCTCCTCCTCGAGGAAGCCCACAACGCTGGTGTCCCGCCAATCGAGATCACTGCCCCCAGCACCCTCGCGCTCACCGCGGCGCGCTCCCACGCGCCCGGCTTGCAGCGCCCCCGCGCGTGCGCGCCCACCGCGGTTCGCGGCCGCGCTGGCCAGCTGCCCAGCCGATCGCCTGCACCAAGCTTGCGCCCAGGGCCAGCCAGGCGGCCTGGGCGGCCGCCCGGACAACCGCCGCCGCGACCTCTGCCCGCACGGCACGGGGCGGCTCCGGGCCACGGGGCGGCCCGCAACCCCGCCGGAGCCTGCTGCACTCCGCGCTCCAACCCGGAGCGCCAGACCTCGCCCGCCATATCGCAAACTGCTGCCCCCGGCGCCATCGCGCTCACCGCCGCGCGCCATCCTCCCTCCAGCCTCCCTCCCTCCTCACTCCCGTCCCAGCCTCACTCCCTCCCTCCAGCCTCCCTCCAGCCTCACTCCCTCCATCCTCCCTCCAGCCATCCTCCCTCCATCCTCCCTCCAGCCTCCCTCCAGCCTCCCTCCAGCCTCCCTCCCTCCTCACTCCCCCTCCTCCCGTCCCAGGGCCCGTGCCCTCCGGGTCAAGGCCTGCCGGTCGAGCAGGCGCTCATCCTGCCTCTGCTGCTGCTGGAGGGCCACGTCGGCGCCGCTGGGCGGCGGCGGCAGCACGGAGTGCAGCACGCCAGAGATCGCGCTGCCGATTACGTTCCCGACCTCACGTGGGCGAGAGCGTCCCATGTATGGAACAACATGGGACCGAGCAGGAGCAAGCGCTCCAGGAGGAGGAGGAGGAGGAGGAGGAGGAGGAGGAGGAGGAGGAGAGCGCAAGAGGAGGAGGAGGAGGAGGAGGAGGAGGAGGAGGAGGAGGAGGAGGAGGAGGAGGAGGAGGAGGAAAAGCGAGGGAGGAGGAGGGGAGGAGGAGGAGGAAGGAGGAGGAGGAGGAGGAGGAGAGGGGCGTTGGCTGCAGGACCGTCACAAGAAGCGGCTCGGGACGAGACGCCCTCCCTGGGAAACTTGGCGGCGAGCCCGGGGGGGGGGGGGGGGAAAGGCGAGGGGGCGGGCCCTCTCTCAGAAGGCTCGGAAGTCCCCCCCGGCCTTCCGAGAAGTTTTCCTGAGCGTTTTCCCGCTCAATGGGAGGGGGGAGAACGGTGCACCTTTCGGGCCCCAACGCCCACCCCCTTTGGAGCCCTAAAAAGGGCTCCTTCTGAGGGGCTCTGGAGGGCCCCTTTTCTGCAGCCCTCGCTGCCCCCCCATTAATCCCCCCCCATTGCCCGTCGGTCGGAAGAGGCGGGTAGAAGGATGAAGTGGGAAGGCGTCAGAAGTAGAATGGGCTCCCGCCCGCCCCTTGAAGATGAGGGAAGGGGGAAGACCACTCGATCCTTCAAGCAGGCAGGCGCCTAAAGCAGATTGGGATCTGGGAATCCAGAAACACCTACAGTCGACACGTACAATAAGGATGCACGATCAGGATGCAAGGGCCTTGGAAGGCCGTTTATCGACGCCTCTCGAGCGGGGCGCGGCCAACGAAAGTGGCGAATGATGGACCGAGGAGGCAAGGATGCAAGGGCACCCTTGGGAAGGTTACCCCTCGGGGATGGACAAAACGCGGTTTAATGACAACTTCCTCGGGCCCAAACCTGGCGGGCACGAGCCTGGAAAATGACGGCCGCGGCGCCCTCTCGAGAACCGAAAACGGACAAATCACTAGTCGACGTGTCAGGGAGGGGGCTCTGTCCACCCCCGAACCCATCCGTACTATGCGGGTCGACTCTGCTCTCCACGACCGACGTGTACGCCACGCCCCCCCCCCCCCCCCCCCAAAAAAAGAAAAACACACTGTCGGGACTGTAGGGCCACGCGCGCGGCACCGATCCAAGCGTCGCACGCCCTGGGGGCTCTCGAGGGTCCGCGGCGCGCTTTCCCTCAGGGGGGCAGCGCCCAGTGTGGGCAGCGCCTAACGGGGGAGGAAACGCCTGAGGGGCAACGCCTCATTGGGGGGGGCGCCCAGGGGCAACGCAGCAGCAGCAGGGGGGCACCGCCTAATAGGGGGGCGATAAATAGGGGGGGAAGGAGGATGCCATTCTCAGGCCCCAGAGGCCCCTTCGGGTCCCTGGAGGGCTCCTTTTAGGGGCCCCGATGGGCCACTGTCCTGCAGCCCTCGCTGCCCTCCCCCCCCTCTTCCTCCTCCTCCTCCTCCTCCTCATCCTCCTCCTCCCCTCCTCTATCCTCCTCCTCCTCCCTCCTCTATCCTTATCCTCCTCCTCCTCCTCCTCCTCCTCCTCCTCCTCCTCCTCCTCCTCCTCCTCCTCCTCCTCCTCCTCCTCTACAATCACTCAATATGAATACTCTCCCTCTTCCCCCGATGGCGGCCTGAAAGTAGCCGACCCCCCCCCCGCGTCCTGCTTTTTTACACACAGGATTCCCGGGAGTTGGGTTTTCGCCTGCATTTGTTTTCAAAATGCTGCTCTCGCCGAGGCGCCGGCCTCATGTTCGGGCCCCGCTCGTTCCGAATCGTGCTCCCGCTGCAGCGCTGGCCTCATTTCCGTGCTTCCGCTCGTTCCGAATCGTGCTCCCGCTGCAGCGCTGGCCTCATTTCCGCGCTTCCGCCCGTTTCGACTCGTGCTCCCGCTGCAGCGCTGGCGTCATTTCCCGTGCCATGCCACAGCACACGCGCACACGCGCACACACGCACACACGCACACACCACCCCACCACCACCACCACCACACCACCACCACCACCAGCCCAGCACCAGCACCAGCACCAGCACCAGCACCAGCACCAGCACCAGCACCAGCACCAGCACCAGCACCAGCACCAGCACCAGCACCAGCACCAGCACCAGCACCACACCACCACGCACACACGCACGCACGCACGCACGCGCACCACCACCCACTAGTCCGCGGATAGAGAAAATCAGCGCCATGGTAAGGGATGGGAGGGAGGGGTAGGACGTCAGATATGACGCGCGCGCACCTAGCTTGCCTCCTCCTCCTCCTCCTTCTCCTCCTCCTCTATCATCCTCTATCCTCCTCTATCCTCATCTATCCTCTTCTATCCTCCTCTATCCTCCTCTTCCTCCTCCTCCTTCTCCTCGTCCTCATCCTCCTCATCCATCCTCTATCCTCCTCCTCCTTCTCCTCCTCCTCCTCCTCCTCCTCCTCCTCCTCCTCCATCCTCTGTCCTCCTCTATCCTCCTCCTCCCCCATCCGTCGCTCCCCGCCATTGCGTGCGGCCCACTAGCGGGGGCGGGCCCTTCCCTTTCGGAGACGGAGGCGGCCTCTCCCTCGGGAGGCTGGAGGGGCCTCTGCGAGGCCCCCGCCGTCCTCCGAGAAGGCCTGCCCCCCTCTCGCGTCCATCCCTTGGCGCGCCGCCGCCTCAGCGAGATTTGTGTCTGGCTGCGGACCACTGCCAATCGATCTGCCGAAGAGATTGCCGAACAAGCGAGAAAGCACGTAATTCGAACGTAAAACGACGTGTTTTATCATCGTCTTAGAGAGCACAGTCGATACCTTTCATCGTCGAAGGATTCCTGAAACGCTGAAGGTATCGACTGTGCTCTCCCAGTCCAGGCACTCCTTCCTCGGGGGCGAGAACGAGAGAGAGAGAGAGAGCACCGGTACGCAGCGGCTTCCCCCGGGAGGCCAGGGGGCTTCTGCCAAGCCCCACCCCCCGCCTCACTCCGAGAAGGCCTGCCCCCTCACCGCCTCCCCCCCCTCTGGCCGCGCCGCCGAGGGAGAGCGCGCAGGCGCACGAGGCCACAGACCAGGCCCCTGCGCGTCGAGAGAGGGAGAGAGGGGGAGGCAGCGAGAGAGCTTCGGCAACGCAGCGCCAGCGCTGAGGCTCGAGGCGCGGCAGCAGTCCTGCGCGTCACCGCGGGCGCACGCACGGTGCCGACTGCTGCCAGGCTGGCGCTCGTGTCTGCCGCCGTGCCTCACGCGCTGCTGGACGCAGTGCCTGGACACAGGGTCGACTGGTTGCCCACGCCTGCTTGCCGGCCACGCTCGTAGCTCGTATCTACGACGCTGTTTACGCTCGTGCGCAGCACCTGGACATGTAACGTCTTGAATTGTGAAATGCGCGGCACCCGAAGTCCCGACCCGTTTCCCAGGGCCTGCTTTTGGAGCAGAGTTGAGTTTGGACGGCTCCAGGGCCCAGCAAAGGCCCCCGGGGGCCGAAAGCGGCCGAACAACCAACCGTCGTATCCTTCACGACTCCAGCATGCCTGGGTAGGTCCTCTCGAATGCTCGGCACAAGGAATCCGCAACTGCTCCCGAATACGCCTGGCCCTCGACGGAAGGGAACCCTGGGCGGGCGCTGCGCCAAGCCAAACTGCGCAATCAGGTTAAAACTTGGGGGCAAGAACTAGAAGTCTGAATCGTCCCCAAAGAATCTCACTGCACCGACCTTGCAGACGTACTGCAGCGGATTCTCGCGTGGATTTCTGTCAATGCAGAACCCCGAAGCGGCGAGCGAAAAAGGACGTGACGTTCACGTGGATGTTTTGTAGTCTTCATTCAAACAAGCAGCACGGATGTCACTTCAAAATCCAGAACGAAACTCTCCAGGACAATCCGGGCCCATCTCATTGTTTACCAAAAACGAGATCCGCCCTCCGATGTTGGCGCCATGAAGCTTGGTGGCAAGAACCATTAGTCTGAGTCGTCCCCCAAAACTCTCTCCCCAATGGTAGCATGTATGAGCGGCTCAGGGTCCTCTGCATCTCTGAGGGCCTGTGCCACCTGCACGAGGCGCCACGCGAGGACCGAGGAAACATCAGCGCGGATATTCACGCAGTGGCTAGCACTAACTCTGGAGGTGCTTTCTGGCGGCAGCATCGCGCGCTCTCCATGCTCCGCTTCCTCCGACTGGACTGCTCAAGATCATGGCTTGCAGCAACCTGGTTTCAGGGGCCCTTACCGCGACGCGCATCGCGCCCCGCGCCCCGCGATGCGCGACCATTGTCGCTCCCTCGCGCCCTCGCGCTGCCTCCTTGGAGAAGGGCAGCCGCTCTGGCCCGGGCCGCCCAAGCGCGAAGCGCGATCCCCTCCGCGCCCCACGCCGCGCTCAAAACGCCAGCCTTTTGCCAGTGGACCCCCGACCTCTGCGCGAGGCCGCTGCGAGCACACATGAACGACGATCGAAAACGGGTCCTACGCCAGATGACATGGCGACCTCACGCGGTGACTTACGCGGCCGCCAGCGCGGCACGGCTCCACCGACTCGGCGCTGGGCACCGCTGCCTGGCCAGGCTTCCGCCATGTGCGCGGCCGTGCTCTGCCCCCTCGACGGTTGACCGCGTCTGATAACGATGGGGAGCTGGCCAGCTGGCCCCGCATAAGCTTGGGTCGGGTCGGGCATGTCCTCCTACAAATGGCTTTTGGAAGAAAAATAAGAAATAGTCAAACAATATTCAAACATAGCCAGAAATATTAGAAAAATCGGCTCCAAACGTTTTTCTTGCGACTATGTTTGAACATTCCTCATGCAATGGCACATGCCCGAATTAAGCATAGGCCCTCTGTGCGGCCCGTGCCCAAGAGGCCACGAAGCCCATAAACGCGCTGGCAAAACTCTGCAGCATCTGCAGCAATACTGCACGTAGTACAGTCAACCCGTATAGTAAGGATGCGCGATAAGGATGCAAGGGCCTTGGACGCCCATTTCGAAGCTTTTCGGACGGGGCGCGGTTAATGGAAGTGGCGAAGGATGGACCGAGGAGGCAGGGAAGCAAGGATACACTTGGGAAGCTTGCCCATCCTTACTATTCGGGTTGACTGTATCTCTCGCACCGCCAAGCTCATATACACGTGCCACGCCGCCTCGAACTTAAACTCCGCGTGCGCTGCCTGTGCTCTTCTCGTCCCCCCTTCCCCCCTTGCTGTGGACCCCCTGACCGGTGCACGCTGATGCAGGAACAGCTTGGCAACCCCCACGCTCCCACAACGTGCAGGGCCCGACTCTCTTCCAGCGCCACGCGGCGACAAAACAGCCACAATCATCCGAAGGAGCGTTAGTCTGCGAGTCACTGATGGATCGGACTAGCCGCGGGCTTCCGGTCTGCCAGCGACCACGACGTCCCCGAGAGAGGGCCCAGCGATGATCATCGGCGGCGTCGCCATGACCAGGGGCGGCGCCGCGATGAAGGGGCTGGGCGGCACCACGACCGTGGTCCTGCTGGGCTGTCTGAAAGTCTGAGGGCGGCCCGGGCGGGGGCCAGGGGAACCTCCTCGGGAGCGGGCAGCAGGAGGTCAGGCCGACGGGCCGGCAGGGTGACGCGCGCTCGACGAATCACGGAAGGGGCGCCACTGCCCGCGCGCGGGGCACAGCTCGAACCCGTGGTCGACGGCAGAGCTGTGAAACCTCGCCCCCTCGTCGCCTTCCATCCCAACAAGTCCCACCGGAGGCCCGCATGGGTGAAAGCCCGCCCGTCCCGATTGTCCGAGCAGCCAGATCTCTGAGCTCGAAGGCAACATGTATAAATATACACTTTCGGAGGCCCGCACGGATTTCTTGGGCCCCCCTCCGCCCGCCTCCCTTGAACATCGGCCCCCAGACCTGTCCAGCGGTTGCTGCCCGACCAGAACTTCAAAAAAGCAGATCTGGCCGTGGGCACCAGGGCGCTCCCGGAGATCCCCCCAAAAGGCCTCCCAGAACACTCAAAGGACCCCGATCGGCCATCTGTCTCCTCCCCGACCTCCGCCTGGGCTAGCCTATCAAACAAGCTGTTCCGCCAGCGGGGATGCCTGCCAACAGCGGCCAGAATATACCCCCACGGCGGCGCGTGGGGGGATACCACTCTCCCCGGCCGCCCTGGGACGGGCGTACCCTCCAGTGGAGTCACAAAGTGAGGGGCCCGAACGGTCATTCACTGTCCCTGGTTGCGTGGCTGAAGTGGGATTCCGTGATGCGGATTATTGATAATGGTGTTTGTTATTGTTGCTGTTGTTGTTGTTGTTGTTATTATTGTTGTTATTGCTGTTCAACTCTCAGAACTGAATAATATGTATTGTTGATCCCCCCTCCGGTAACATTTTCGATTGAAGTGTCCCCCTCCTGTGGCTCGCACCCTGTTTCTATCAGGGAAAATCTCCCTGCTCAAGCTGCACCCCTGGCCCCCCAGACTACAACAATAACGGCTCCCGCCGGATACTTCCTCGCAATTTACTGAAGAGTCGCGCTCTGGCTCGGAACGCCCTGGCAATGCATCTCAGAATCGAGCTCTCGCCTGTGACTCCCTTGCAAGTCACTCCAGCGCCGCGCCCTCGCCATTCAGGAATCGCGCTTCCGCATGGGACTTCCTCATATTTACTCAGGACTCGCGTTCTCGCCCGAGACTTCCTGGCGAACTGTGCAGGATTCACGCATTCGCGCAACATACGTGATTTTTCAATGGAAGTGTCCCCCTCCCGGGGCTCGCACCCTGTTTTCTATCAGGGAAAATCTCCCTGCTCAAGCTGCACCCCTGGCCCCCCGGACTACAACAATAACGGCTCCCGCCTGATACTTCCTCGCAATTTACTGAAGAGTCGCGCTCTGGCTCGGAACGCCCTGGCAATGTATCTCAGAATCGAGCTCTCGCCTGTGACTTCCTTGCAAGTCACTCCAGCGCCGTGCCCTCGCCATTCAGGAATCGCGCTTTCGCCTGGGACTTCCTCATTATTTACTCAGGACTCGCGTTCTCGCCCGAGACTTCCTGGCGAACTGTGCAGGATTCACGCACTCGCGCAACATACGTGCTGTTTCAATTGAAGTACCCCTCCCAGGGCTCGCTGTCTTTACAAGGGAAGGTCTTCCTGCCCAATTTGTGCCCCTGGCCCCCGTTTACAACAAGAACTGCTCCCGCCTGACACTTCCTTCAATTAACTGAAGGATCGCGCTCTCGCTAGGGACGTCCATGCAATGTATGAAAGAATCGCGCTCTCACCTGACACATCCTCGCAAATGATTCAGGCGTCGCGCTTTTGACACTCAAGAATCGCGCTGTCGCTTGGGACTGCCTCGCAATTTATTCAGCCGCCGCGCCCTCGACACTCCGGAATCACGCTTTCGCTCTGGATTTCCCCACTAGATGTATTTTGGAATCGCGCTGTCACTCAAGGCTTCCTCGCGGTCCATGCAAAACACATGTTTCAGCAACCCGCCTGCTCGACCTGGCCGCCTGGGCCCGCCTGTTAGGGTCTACCCGCCCGATCTGCCCGTCTGGTTCTGTCAAGCGCTTTCTGCTCCTAGACCCTCTCCTGCTACTTTCTCTCGTGCTCCATCCTCCTCTCTCACTCTTCTCCCTTCTCTCCATTCGTCCTCTCTTCCCCTGCCTTCGGTGCTGCACGAAATACACGTTGCAGCTAAGAAAGATATACCCCCAAGGGGATACGATCGAAGACGAAGATGGTGGGTGGGTATCGATGGCTCGGGATATAAGTTAATAGTATGACTATTGTGTTGTTGTTATTGTTGGTATCGTTGTTGAACTCTCACTACTGAAGAATCAGTGTTGTTGATCCCCCCTCCGGTGACCAATTTATTCTTTCAATTGAAATGCTTCCCCCTGGGCTCGCACCCTGTTGTTTGTATCCGGCAAAGCCACGAGGCTCAAACTAGGCCCCCAGCCCCTGGTTTGCAGCAACAGCGGCTCCCGCCGGATACTTCCTCACAATGTATTCCCAAATCGCGCTCTCGCGCGGGACTTCCTCACAATTCATGCACACATCGCGCTCTCGCGTGGGACTTCCATTCAATTTATTCAGAGGATGCACCCTCACCCTCTCGCTTTGGCTTCTCTTACGATTTTCTTGGGAATCACGCGATCGCTCGAGACTTCCTCGCGATTCATGCGGGACCCACGCTTCAGCAACCCGCCTGCTCGACCTCGTCGCCTGGGTCCGCCTTCCCGACCTGCCCGCTATGGGTCTGCCCACCCGATTTGCCTGTCTGGTTATACAACTTGTTTTCTGCTCCTCGTCCCCCTCCTGCTAATTTCTCTCGTGCTCCATTCTTCTCTCCCGCCCTTCCACCCGTCCTCTCTTCCCTTGGTATATGGACTGCACTACATGCGCGTGGCAGGTAAGCAAGATATCCCCACAAGGGGGTACGATCGAAGACGACGAGGGCGGGTACCGAAGGTTCGGGATGTACGTATTGATTGGTATTGATTGGCACGTGAGCGAATAGGGGCGAACAATATTAAAATGATTGTTGTTGTTGTTGTTGTTGTGTTGTTGTTGTTGTTGTTGTCGTTGTCGTTGTCGTTGTCGTTGTCGTTGTTGTTGTTGTTGTTGTTGTTGTTGTTGTTGTTGTTGTTATGTTGTTATGTTGTTGTTATTGTTAGTGTTATTGTTGTTGTTGTTGCTGCTGCTGTTGCTGCTGCTGTTGTTGTTGTTGTTGCTGTTGCTGTTGTTGTTGTTGTTGTTGTTGTTGTTGTTGTTGTTGTTGTTGTTGTTGTTGTTGTTGTTGTTGTTGTGTGGCGTCGTCCGGCCCGCGACCCGGCCCGCGACCCACCCGCGACCCACACCGCGACCCGACCGCGAACCACCCGCGACCAACCCGCGACCCACCCCGCGACCTACCCGCGACCCACCCCGCGACCCACCCCGCGACCTGCCCGCGACCCACCCCACGACCCACCCCGCGACCCGCCCGCGACCCCCCCGCGACCCCCCCGCGACCCCCCCGCGACCCCCCCGCAACCCATCCCGCGACCCACCCACATTGCTTTAACGAAAAATCGGCGCCTGCGGCGAGCTCGTTGCACACGTTGTACAAAATGGGCGCCTGCGGTGGGCTTCTCCAGAGCCTCGCAGACTGCCGACGTCCCAACCGCCCCCTCACTCGTATCCGCGACTGCGGGGTGCTACGTGTGTGTGTATATATATATATACACATGAAAAATGTCACAGGGAGACACTAACAAATGCACACAAAACTTCAGGAACCCCAAGATGTTAACATCAAAGTGAGCGGGCCAAAGGGTCATTCATTGTCCCTGGGTGTCTGACTGAAAAGGGGTCCGTGGTGAGGATTATGCTTGTTGCGTTGCTGTTGCTGTTGCTGTTGTTGCTGTTGATGTTGCTGTTGCTGTTGCTGTTGCTGTGGTTGTTGTTGTTGTTGTTGTTGTTGTTGTGGTTGCGGTTGTGGTTGTGGTTGTGGTTGTTGTTGTTGTTGCTATTGCTGTTGCTGTTGCTGCTGTTGTTGTTGTTGGTGGTGTTGTTGTTGTTGTTGTTGTTGTTGACCATTAATACTTCTAAAGAATAATTATTGTTGGGACCCCTGGTGCACGACCCCCCCGCCGCGCCTAGGCCGCAGCCTCATTTTCATCATTTTCGTCGGGAAGTCTCAGGCAGAACGGGGGAGTCCGGATCCGGTTGTGTTGTTACGATCGGTTTTCCCTTGCAAAAAAATAGGCTAAAGTGGACATTTCTTGTTCTAACATAACCAAACTTCAAGAATCCCTTGCAAAAAATAAAGTAAAGTGGACATTCGCGCGCGCAAGACGAAATCCTTCCAAAACCTGAGTTTTCGTAACGATTTTAACATAAAAACATCAAAAAAACAAATGGTTTTTCAAAAAAATGTCAAAATTTCATCCCGCGCGCTCTTGCGGATTTGTAGGAAACCAAACACTTTTTAATCATTTCTGTCAAACGGGCTTTTGCGAGCAACTTTTTCGAACTTCTGCACCAACGGTTGCGCACCTGCCAGGGCCATCATCCCTGTCAAATAATACCATGCGGGACACATTCGTTTTTTCTTCGCGCGCGCACGCCGTCGTCGTCGGCCGCGGGGCCCTGAATAGTAGCCACGGTCGTCCGCATGCCACGAAGTGAAGTGTCCGAACGTCATAGGGCGGGAAGCTGGGTGTGGGTGGTGGCGAAGAGTCGTTTGGAAATTTGGTAGAGCTTGAACCGGCCCCCCCACAAAGTGGGGGTATTGCCCGCCTCCTATGAAAACCCTGGCACTGGTGAGAACGGAGTGTCCCCACGTGCTAGTAATTGTTGTTGTTGTTGTTGAACATTATTAATTCTAAAGAATAATTATTGTTGGGCCCCCTGGTGCACGCCCCCCCTGCGCCGCCTAGGCCGCAGCTACATTTTCATCATTTTCGTGAGGAAGCCTCAGGTAAAACGATGTGATCCAGATCCGGTTGTTTTGTTGTAATCCGTTTTCCCTTGCAAAAAACA